GATGAAGTCATTGTCAAATGAAAGCAAACCATTTGTTCCCAACAAGCACAATAGTGAACTCCACATACACATTCAGAACAGGCCTCCACTCAGTTTTTCTACCCGTTTGATTTACAGCATACTATCATTGCCTCTTTTGTGATGCGCAGGGACCCACATGATCTTATTTATGAGGCTATATAAACAGTAAGCTAGTTGACATTAATCTCTGAGGATGCAATCCTAATACACTTACTTGGAAGTAAGTCCCACCAAACTTGGTGACATTTACTTCCAAGTAAATTATGCCTAGGATAAAGGTTAAAAAAGGTGGATATTAGTTTCTGTCTCAAGGACTATAAATATATATAGATCAGTTAAAATAGTTAAATCTTTTCTTGCAAACAGCTATCACTAAAGTCCACCCCTTTACATATGAATATGTCTTCTTAACTGATTACACAGATCTCATATGCAAGTTTTTATTTCAATGTCCAAAGTAAGAGTGCAAAAGCACATGCATCTCCCTGCATTTGCAAATTCCTTTTAAAGCAGGAAATTAAAAATGTTACTGAAGTATCCTGATACACTCACATGACCTTTTGTAACTTCTGAAATTACTCACTGAGTGTTTAGAAAATCCCTAGAACCTGCAATGCATTCTGTTTCCCAGACCATCATTGTCCTGGAAGTACCAGTACCATGCCTTAAAGCTGGTTAATCCATAAAACCATTATCAGGCACTAAAACAAAACAGGGGTTTAAACAAAAAGTGAAAACAAATTATCATAATAATATACATGATCTATATAACATTTATGCTTTCAAACTGCATCCATATTGTGGGTAATAACTTGGTTAGTGGCCTCTACTGTGCAAATACTATACAGACAAAATGAAGGCAGACAGAAGTATTCTAGGTACTGTACAACACAAATTATTGGAAAGAAGGACCTATTTTCTGAATGAGCTGGTTCAAACAATTGGTTGAGGCTTGATTTATGAAGCAGTAAGTAAGTGTAAGGAATAAGGTAAGTAACATCAGGAGGTAATATAATCCTGGGTAATTTTGCTGGTTTATTACCTGACAGTAAACCAGAATCCCCCAGTCTGACATTAGAGAACACTCTGACTCAGTAAAAGCCAGAAGCTTTGTGCCCATGCCAGAATGCAATGGAGGAGAAGAGGCACAAGGAAAGGGCCTGTGGTCCTGACACTTGGTCCCAGATTCATAAACTATAGTTTATGAAGCCTTGGATAATCAATTGAACCAGGCCCCTGTTTCAGTTGCATTACTCATTTGTTCAATCACTTTTACACAGCCCATTACACAGACAATAAATGCAATGAAGCATATGTTGATTCCAGCAAGGCTCAGGGATGGAGGGTATTTTGCATTTGCCATGGAGAGGCTGCCGATCTCTTTCTGATTCCTGTTCCAGCCATCATGTACAGAATTAATGCACAGGAAAAGCTGCCATCATGTTAGAAGCTCTACAAACCTGACATCTGCTGGAGAGGGTGTGGACTCTTAATATGATGGCAGCTATCTCCATGGTAACTAATTCTACATCAGAGCCAGAACAGGTATTGTTTGCTGCAGAAATATTGTTTTTAGTAACATTTCAGTGCAAAATATAAGGTATCTTGCAGATCTTACTAAAGTCATTGACCTTGAAAGAAAGTTAAAAATGCTGTGCTTCTCAATGGTGTGAACAAGTTTTTCTCACCTTTTGCTTTATTTTTAATGTAGTGTTAATGGCAACATTTCTCACTTGGTCTATTACAGACCAGCTGTAGAAGGCACATTATAGAAATGACAACAGTAAAGAAACATTTGACCGAGTCATACTTCCCATATCCTCTGGCAAAGTCCTATGGTTCTGCAATGTGTTGGGGTTGTCTGCATGACATACTTGTCATCACTTAGTTACAGCCTCTGCATAGTCAACATATTATTGCACACTTAGTTACTGCCATATGAACTTCAAAGCCATGGAAAACAGACAGTGATTAGTTCATTTGGGCTACAATCAAAGATTGTTATGCTGTTCTTGAATAAAACTGTTAGATTGTTATAGAAAAGGGAAGAATCTGCTCACATGACCAATATTTATAAGCTAAATGATTGTTTTCAGGGCGTAGTGTGTCAGTGGATAGCTGAGAGTGAGTGAGTGGAGAATGAACCCTGTCGCATCTCTGATCAGGAATATAATATACTCTGAATTGAGTTCAATTGCTTGGTGCTTTCTCAGTTGTTCATTTTTTTAAAAAAATAGCTGAGTTTAATCATGTTAAACTAATCTAAAGTCAATTCAGGGAAGCTTGCCCATTATGGATTCACATGACTTATTTGTTTGCTTGCTTGTTTTCATGCACTTTAAGTTATACAAAGAGTTTCCTTATATGAATAACATAATCCAAGAACACCAAGTTCAGCCACTTTGTATTTTAAGAAACTGCAGAAACTGCAGTTTCAATTCATGAACTTCTGGCCCAGACATTAAACTAGTCATGATTTGAGAGCAAAAAACCCTGTAATAACCAAAAAAGTATTTGTGTTGCTTTGTGCTGTGATCAAGTATTCCAACCACTGGTGTAAAAACCCTGCTTTTATTTTTTGTTACTTTCAATATATGTGGCCAGAAGTACTTGTCCTGGGTTGACAAGGGAGATCTCAGCAAGAAACCTCTGATTTCATCAGTCTTCCCACTGTGTTCAAACTTGCAACCTCAGCTCTCTTTTTGATTGTATCAATAAATCAGAGGATAAATGATCATACATACAGGCCTACAGATGTTGTTGCAAGGAACTGGCTCTGGAGTACAGAAAATTTAAGAGGCACCCTTTACAATTTAGACAAATGTTCACTGCTCCTCAAAATACAATGCTTAGGTTTACCAGAAAGCTGGCTTGTGCATTCCAACAATTTCCTAAGCATGTCACATTCTTCAAGTAAAATAGATTTTACTGCAGCACAAGATCAGCATAACTACACAATATTCTGAATTGCATGTTCCTCACCATTTCTTTTTGACTGGAAGGCTTGTTTTAAGGAACTTAAAGGCACAGTCCTATGAATGTTTAGACTAAAACAAAAAAGCCTGTATCTCCCACAATGCCCCAGCATTCTCTCTGTATAAACTTGTAGAGTGTGACCTATTTCACAAGTCCTAAGTATAGACATTATATTTTATGTCTATTTACTGGGTGAATTATATCCTTTCCTACCAAGTTCTATCATACCAGTTGAATGTGTAGATGCATAATACTAGATAGAGTATCATGAAAGCATCTTAATCGTCCTGCTATTTCTAACAGCCTGTAAATTTATTTTGCTGACCTCAGTAGCACAGCATTCATACTTTTTTAGCCAAGGATTTTCTCCCTTTATAGACCTTTAGCGGGAAATGATCACAGAAGTATCACTGCTGCTGTCAAAATTCTACACACAGACCTCCATGTAAGCCAAATACTGATCAGATTTCCAATTGGGGTCATATAGCACACCAGCACTCTCTCCCGCCCCTTTTCACACACAGCCTCCTCCCACTGCAAATCTCAAAACATGCCTATGCTTTTTTTGTTGGCCTTCAGACATTTTCCCAAGAACTTTAGATCATGATTCAAAAACACAAAACAATATCCCACAGTATGCTTAAGTATCTATAAACCGGGTAACAGATTTTACTTTAATTATACATTCTCTGCCATCCACTTTTCACACAAACTTTTGACATTCTGTTAAACTACAAAAAGATTTAAGTACTATGTTTTCCAAGTATCTCATTTCAAAATTGGAGCAGTTTAATGTCATTATTTTTTCAATTGCCAGTTAGGGTCAAATATTGATAGATAAGAAAATATAAGCAAAAAATAAGGCAATATTTAATATGATATGCTAATTAGAATTGTTAGCCAGGAACAAAAAATGCAACAACATAGTCATTTTTATAATAAATGGAATTTGATGCAGAAATATATATACCTGAAACCGTAAACATAAGAACAAACTTCCTAAGCTAATTAAAAGTGATGACAAATCTTGTGCAGTGCAATGTGGCAAGGCGTGGAAACTTAACTAAAAGAGGAATTGAAAGATCTCTTTTAAACTACTGGCAACTAGACAGTCAAAAGACTCACGATTATATTTGTCTACACAAAGGTCATGATTAAGATGGACACAATTCCTTACAAATGTCTGGAAGCATTTCCTTTGCAACACTGAAATCCCTAAATGATAAATGAAGCTGCACTCAGCATTCTTTCTGTTGACACTTTTGGTAAGATAAAGAAATACAGTGCTTTAAATGAAGTACAAGATTTTACGGGGAAATAACATAGCTATTGAGAGTTGTCAGGAATATTGAACTATGTTTTGTTTACAAAGAAGCTATTCTGAATAATGCGATCTCTGAATATGCAATTAAAAAAAACCATTCAGGTAAGTGTAGTATACATGTCAAATTAAATTGCTCATTTTCCTGTTCCATTACTTTGGCAAGAACAATGCATCCAACGCCCAGTCCCATTACTTTCGACCATCCCTCACCATTTATCATTTCGGCTTTCTGTCAGAGCTGCTGTGGTGTGCAACTGATTTCTCACCATATGAAACAAAACTGTTCTATTAAAACTTTTTTTCCTAGCAGGAACATTAATTTCTATTAAATAAATACATATGACATTCCAAATAGTATCCAACTACCATTTATGCTGGGTAAAACTTAATATTAACAGCTAATCTTCTGTGGGAGAAAAAACTCAGGGTGAATTAAAGCAACCTATTATTGCCTGGCCAATTTGCTTTAAATTAAAAGCATCACCTGAATATTCAGGCATAGAAACAGCACTGGTTACTATAGAAAAAAGGAACAGATTTACAATCTTTGTCATAAGACTGCATTAATTTCCCCACCACACCCCTTTCCTTTCCATGCAAATGTGCTTTATAGCAAGTGAATACTGCAGCCTGCAGCCATTCAGTTTTGAAAAGCGTTTTAGTTTTAATATTTCCTTACCTTTTATAGAAACCATGAAGAGGCTGGAGACACAGAAACTGCCAGTAATCCAAGCAGAAGGCCTTTAACTTCAGCATTTTAAAAGAGTTCCAGTTGCAGCAAGTAGAGCCCTTTTACAATCTTTAATAAGAGAATATCCCAGTTTTTACAGGAGATAAAAGACCAAATAGTAACATGCAAATACAATACCCCTCCCTTTTTCTAATGAGACAGCACTGTATTTTCTTGTTGCTACCAATGTATGCAAGCTCTTTATCCTCATGGTACTGCACCTGCATAGCTACAGTGCACTACTTTAATACAAAGAGACAGTAGCACAAAGGCTACAAATTCATTTACTGTGGGTGTTTCTCCTGATTTCAACTAATTTTCCTAGAGTTCTTCTACATAACCAATGCTTGTAACACAAGAACACACACCAGAACAAAAATATAGTTATATTCAGACCATTCCAAAATAAGTTTGATAAATAATTAGCATATATTCCAGTCTGGATTCTTGAGGGCCTGGTCAGGAAACATCCCTGTAAGTTCACAGTGCTCAGGAAAATACAAGCCAATATCACAGCCAGCTGAGTGCAAAAGCTCTATGATCCCATCAGATTTAAGAGTGCATCATACGGAAACTCCTCAGTTCTGCAACTAAGCTGAATGCAACTTTTTTTTTTAAGCCGGGTCCTCTAGTGTGAATCACAACTGCTCCATTGTCTGCCAGCACCTATGAAAAATGTTGGTTCCTTTATGACTGGGGATAGAAGGGAGGTGGAAGTGACAAGCCTAAGTATGGACCCTCCCCACTCACAAAATAAATTATGCTTATCTTAATCCCAACACACTTTGCCAGTTAGGTCTCTGTGAAGAAAAACTAATCATCTGAACCACATGGTGCACAGTGGGACACGCTCCCAGCTATAAAAGCCAGCAAGATAAAGCCTCCCTGAGATAGGTTGATTCTGGTTGCTATAGCAACAGGAACACATTGATAGAATCTAAAATGGAGGCCCTGTGATAGTTTGTCATTGGTTACAGGGATATAATGCATCTGTAACAAGCAATGCACAGGCACTCTGAGCAATCTCATCAGTGGAGAATGAATTTGGAGCTAGGCTAATTAAGAGCAGTGCAAAATAGCAGCTAGTCCTCATTTAGTTACAGTCGAAATACAAACCATTTTTATTCTAAGGGGAACACAGAAGCAATTAGCAAGGAGATGCTTTGAGAAAAAGGAACTTTAAAATTAGAAGCATTTCCTATTTAATCCTTAGGGTGAAACAGAAATAGTAAAAGTAGCTTTCATTTACTGCCCTTGGAAACCTCAAGCCATTTTGGTATCTTTACCTTTTAAGAGAGCAACTGTAGGGCAGAATTCTTTTTAAAAAGCATTCAATAATATCCTACTTTGCACAAATTCCTATTGGTTAGAATGAAATGATTCAAATAATAAATACACAACTAATTAATATTCAAAGAATGTATGTTTGGAGGAAGTGAATAATGCTTAAAAGGTTGGTAACAAAAAGCTCCTAACATTACCAAGGGAAAAAATGTTGTCAATAGATTTTGAAGACTGCACTAGTTTTCTTCTAGAACACAACTATACTTAAATCATACTTCTATGCTGCTGTGATAGGGTTCTATCCTTAAAGACTGCCTAGAACCATTTTTTTATTAAAAAATTATTTGCATTACTTTTTATATTACCACCACATAGGGAGTACAATAAAAAAATTAGACTACAAAGCATTCTTAGAAAACGCCAAATAGTAAAGTTTGTGGAACAATATTTTAATTTTTAAAGTGGTAGCCTTGTCTAACAGCACAGAGACAGCACTCTACTATGTACCTGAATATTATGAAGTAACAGGGAACTGGTAAATCTATGTGGCTGAGATGGTGAATGCTGCAGGTGTGTATATCTAATATTATGGCGAACTCTTAAGCTACATGCTTCTGATGATGCAGAATCCAGAATGGCTTGGGAAGGTATAGGCTGGCTAGAACCTCATGAAGTTCAAATGGCAGAGTTGCAGAAAGACATGTGACCACTTGATAAACTAGTTCAGGCAATATTGAGAAAATTCTCCTCTCTGTGATACCATCTATGAAAAGACAATGACCAGACTGCTGAACTAATGGACAACAGCGTGATACAGTTATCCGGTTTGCAAAATCAGTGCGAAATTGCACTAGTATCATTGTGGGGTTATTTGAAGGTTGCTTAACCTTCCAACAAGTCATTCCATACAGGTTCAAAAACATGCTAAGTTCATTCATTTATCACACTCAGAGGGAAGAAGGGGAAGAAGGTGTACTGTCAAAAATAGGCTGGGGGTGGGTGGGTTGTAGAAAAGAAGGAGCAAGAGAAGTAAGGGAGCCAAACAGAAATAGATAAAGGAAGTAAGTCACAGAAAGAAGAAAGAAATTCTTACACAAAAAGGAGAAAGACAGTCGAGCCATAGAGATAAAAGAGATGGGAGGAGAAAAAAAGAGCTATGAGATGGAGGATGAAGAGACACGGGGGGGGGGGGGGGGGAAAGAAAAGTTGGAGAACCTTAAAGAGAGGAGACAAGAGAACCAGAAGGGTGAGAAGCCAGGGTCAGAGTTATACCTACAAGATACATATTCACAGTCACAAACACAGATAACGATTGCATCTGCCCTTCCCCACTCCATATATTACTTATGAGTATGGTGGTACTCAGGGCACGTTTTCAAATTCCATAATGTGCCCACAGACCCAGAAAGATTGGGGACCCTGGACTAGGTACTCCAAAATATACAAGGCTGACCATATGACCAAAATGCCCTCATCAATACAAGTTCTAGTAATGAAGATTGTTTTGGTAAAGATTCTGAAGAGACGAAGGATTGGCCTGGCTTAAACTTTATTCAAAGCACACATGGCAGTGATTGAATTGTTTTGGTGTTAGCACATGCAACTCCAGTTTTGTTCAGGCCCTCTGGACTTGGAAAACAGGGATTTAAGATCCTCTCTTCATTTTGAAATTCCACCTTAAGGGCAAAGGGGTGGGGGGATTAAAAGGGAAGAATCTTCCTTGAGTCTAACAGGGGCTGTCTTTCTTTTCCTTATTTTTTTAAACCTTCAAATACAAGGAAAAAAAATTAAATTCCCCCTCCCAGAGCACTGTGGTCCCAATTCAGGAAATAAAGCAATAATGCATTATTCGGCAATGCATGATTTGAATAATGGCTCCATGATCCAAAAAGTCATCTGAAGAAGGAAAAAACCCAAAGCAGTTGAGGAACCCTTCCCCACATTTACCTGGCTTGTTAGGTATTCCAATAAAAGTTGTGCTGTACTCATGGGAAAAGACTGCTATGGAAAAGTATTGGGAATGAGCAGAGCAATGAGACAATAATCAGGCATATCGGATAAAGTCATGTGCTTATGAAATTCCTGTAACACCCGCTGTTATCTAGTATTGTTACCTGGAGCACATAATGAGATGATTCTCCCAACAAATGATTCTACCTTTGCTATACTGAAAAGTGATTCTGAAACTGTCACCACCTGGAACATCTATGCCCAAATTGGAAAGATGCTGATACGACAAAGCCACATAACTAGTTATCTTTCCTAATTATAATTGTAATTTATGTACACCAGGTGTTGTCTCTTCAAAAGCAGCAGTTAGGACTCAGGAGACCAGGCCTTGGAGAGCTGACTGTCAGATACAGCTGGGTGGGACAGGAGTGTAAAAAGAAGATTCTGGCCCTTGTCTTGGGATAAATAAACTGGGAGAATGATTTTAAGTGTTCCTTAAAATCATTCTCCCATTGTGTGTTCCTTCAAATGCTGGTAAGTTTTGGAAGGGCAAGTGGGATAAAGGAGGGAGATGAGTGAGTGAGGTGATTGGTTGGTGATGGAGAGTGGATGGGCAGGGATAAGTGTGTGAGAAGGCAGAAAGTTGTCAGTCAGTCATGGTCTGTCAGCAAATCTGCAGAATCTGAAGAGGCAGCCTTCTCTTTTGAATCCTAGAGAGTGCTGTGGAAGGCATTCAAGTTTCATAAGGAAAAGGAAGGATGCAAAGTACTTAGACAACATATTAGCAACCAGGAATCAAAACCTAATACAGTAATACCTTGGTTCACAAACAGTTCTGTTCACGAACAATTTGGTTCGCGAACAGAAAGTTCGGAAAAATTTTGCTTCCATTCACAAACTCTGCATTGGGTGACGAGCACGATCGCGGACACGAACACAATCGCAGCGATCTTCCCTGCACTGTGACCACGTGTCAGAACGTGTTTGAGAGGGGAAGATGGCTGAGTTCGTGTTTGTGTGGGGAAGATGGCCACGATCGTGTTCTCCAAACAATAACCTCCTCCCCACCCACCTTCCTGTCCTCCATGCCATAAGTTGCCTCAAACAAGGTTAGTGTTCTCTCTCTTCATATTGTACTGTACTTTGTTTCATATTTTTGTGGTTTAAAAAAATGCATATGGTTCAGAACGGAGTAACCTTATTTACATTGAACCGTATGAGGAAATTTGACTTGGTTTGTGACCAATTCGATTCGTAACCAGAATTGTGTGAACCAAGGTACCACTGTATTGGAAAAATATTATAAGACTGTGTGAGATAGAAGCTGACAGAAACCTGAATCTAGAATGAAGAGGAGGATTTATGAGTGAGGAGTGTTTGTGAAGGGAAAGGAGACCTCAGTCAAAAGTTGTTGTTATGTTTTATTGACTACGGAAATAAGTTACAGAACCTCTTGAAACCAATACACTTATTGTCCAAATAAAGTTTTTTGTTTGTTCTTAACTCAGAGTCATTGGCTGTTTGAATACCAGAGTCTCATCCTCAGGACCACTTAGTCCAAGGAAGGATTCTTATAGCTTGGACACAATATTGTGGGAGAAGTTGATAAGATTGAAATTAAATTCCTGGTGGCAGGGTTACATACCAGAGAAAATATCAAGAGAGTTGAAGACACATCATATCCAAACATAATATAAAAGGGTACGCCTGACAGTTACATTTTTGAATGTTCTGATTGGTATTATGAAGTGTGGTAGGGAATGTATGTTCCATATTTTGAAACTAATGAGCTTCATATTTGTTGCTGCATAATAGATTCAGCTCTTATCTTTTCTTGCAATTCTTTTTACGTATAAATGCTATTCCAAGTGGCTTGGAAGTGCTGCTTCTGTTGTGCACATGACAGATAGGGCCAGAAACATTTTTTGGAAGGCCTTACATAGCATCAAAGCTTGGAGCACTGCACATGGAGGAAACCCCAGTGGATGCACTTCGTATGCAGGATAATGTATTCCTCCCACTCCACCTGAACACCCTCCCCTTCCATCTGAACTTCTGTAAGAGTCTTTGCCCTGCCAAGTGTTGGAAAAGGTCCCCAATGGTATTTCTAGTAAGGCCATTTTCCTTGTTTTTTTGGGGGGTGGGGGGTGGGGTAGGGGGAGAAAAAAAAGAAGCTTGCTATTCTCTTTTAAATACAAGTGCTCAGTGGTGTGAAATAAATATTCCCTAGTCTTCCAATCAACTTCTTATACTGATTATACTGTACTGTGTTTAAAGAAAATGCTAATAGGGACTTTTGTGAATTAAAGGTTCAATAATCTCAACATACATGCTCTCCATCCCCCACCCCTTTCCCCTTGGAAAACAAACAAGTAAAATGCATTAAGTTTCATCTCACGCTCAACCTGAATATAAAGATAATTCTTTGAAAAGGCA